AAACGACTGAGACTTGCCGTAAAGGATGGGTCCTATTTCATACGCTCGGTAGGACACTGTTCCTGGGTTCCACATCCTTGAGGACCATCTCGTCGAGTCCCTCGGTTGCCTTGTCCAGCTCAGCATCGATCTTTGCTCGAATTTGCGGTATGTGCCTCGCCTAATTCACAACAAATAAAGCGACGCGTGACGACGTCGTAACTTGCAGTGGCTAGGGAGTTCGATTCAACCCACCTGGTTTAGCGCGTAGCGCTTGAGAGGAACCTCGAATCCTTGATGAAGGCCATATCGCTGCGAGTACTTCCAGAATCGGTAGGCAAAGAGGAGCACAAACCAGGTGAAGGTGGAAAGGACCACAGTATCGAAACGATCCTTTCCCCGCAGTCTGTCGTTTATCAGTAGCCGAATAGCAGCTATCAGGTTGCTCACTATGGGAACACTCGACGATGGCATTTTCAAATCTAACTGCGGGTAGAGTGGCTCTGACTGACACTAATACCCGACATGAATTACTGCTTATACAAAGACCCGTGAAGGCGCCCGTCAGCAACCATAAGCCAGTGAGCTTCTATATGATGGACGAGAGTATATTCCACAGACGAACTATTGCTATCGCCGACATCTACACTCCTCCTATTGCACTTTTGATTGGATCGTTTCCTATGGGTGGGGCTGTACCGGCCATGTCCCGAGATGGCATATCCGCCCCACCCGAGAAATATAATATACCAAGTCCCGGGATGGCATATCCGCCCCACCCGAGAAATATAATATACCAAGTCCCGGGATGGCATATCCGCCCCACCCGAGAAATATAATATACCAAGTCCCGGGATGGCATATCCGCCCCACCCGAGAAATATAATAAACCAAAGCATGTCCCAGGATGACATATCCGCCCCACCCGGGAAATGTAATATACCAAGCATGTCCCGGGATGGCATATCCGCCCCACCCGGGAAATATAATATACCAAGCATGTCCCACGATGGCATATCCGCCCCACCCCGGAAATATGATATACCAAAGCATATCCCGGAATGGCATATCCGCCCACCCGGGAGTATATATATAC